TGTCTGATTCCAGAGTCAGCAGTCCTAACACAGCCCACACAGATCTCTCCCTTTTCACCTCAGAAACATCAAGCTGTAGTCTCTATGAGCACATAAAGAATGTATCAGAGATTGTTCTCAATGTGGCCTAGACTCAGAAAAATCCTGCTCATTCTGATCCAAGTAAGTAGGAGACCAGTGATATGCTGCCTATAAGAAATAAACATCAAAGGCATAGACAAGTTTGAAATAAAAGCATGGTTCTGGCAATGCTAGAAGAACAAATACGAGACTCATCCTCTCATGCTATACGGCTAAGAAAATGAAATAGATGAAACAGTCATCAGTTCAAGAGATCATGCCTGAAGGAGGAGAAACAAATGAGGTGAGCCCTCTGAAATAAAATAGGTGGTGACAGAGATAGAGAGCACCCTTCTCATGCACATCAGTAGACTCCACACAGTGGAGGAAAGGACCAACAAACTTGAAGACAGCGTAATAGAAACTATCCAAACTAAACACAAGGAGGAAGGAGTGGGGGAAGAGGAGGGGGATGAGGGAAGGAGAAGAGGAGGAAGAAGAGAAGGGCAGGGAAAGGAGTGGGAGATGAGGAGGAGGGAGGAAGGGGAGGAGTGGAGAAAAAGGAGGAGGGAAGGAGGAAGAGGAGGAAAGGAGGAGAGAAGAAGGGGAAGGGGAGAATAAGGAGGGGAAGAGGAGGGAGAGGGGTAGGAGGGCAACAATGATAACAATGATGACGTTTTTAAAACCCTCGGGATGACATAAATAATTAACACCCATGTGACTGGAATCTCAGGAGGAAAAAGAGGGAACGATAATGGTGGAAGATATATTTGCGGAGTCAATGGCTGAGAATTTTACAAAATTAATCAAAGATGTCAAGTCACAAATCCAAAAAGATTAGAGAACCCCTAGCAGAATTTTAAAGACACATAATACTTAAACTACTAAAAAATAAAGAGAGGCCAGGTGCAGTGGCTCATGCTGTAATCCCAGTGCTTTGGGAAGCTGAGGCGGGTGGATCACAAGGTCAGGAGTATAAGACCAGCCTGGCCAACGTAATGAAACCCCAACTCTCTAAAAATACAAAAATTACATGGGCATGGTGGCCCGCACCTGTAGTCCAAGCTACTTGGTAGCCTGAGGCAGGAGAATCACTTGAAACCAGGAGGCAGAGGTTGCAGTGAGCCAAGATCACACCACTGCACACCAGCCCAGGAACAGAGTGAGACTCTGTCTCCAAAAAAAAAAAAAAAAGAGAGAGATAAAGAGAACATATTTAGGGCAGCCCAAGAAATTAAAGAACAAAGTTAAGAATGACAGCAGATTTCTCATCAGAAACTATGTAATCCAGAGGATAAATGAAGTGTCATCTTTAAAGTGCTGAGAGATAAATGTCAGCAAAGACTTCTACCCCAGTGAAAAATATCTTTCATAAGTGAAAGTAATTTCTTAATTGCAGAAAAATAAAATCTGAGGTGACTAATTATCAGCAGACTTGTGCAACAATAAATTAAAGGAACTTTTTCAGTAGAAGGAGCAAGGAACCAGAAACTTTGTTCTATACACAGAAATGAAGAGCTCTGGAAACTGTTCAAATGAAAGTTTGTATGAAAAAACTTTTAAATCACTCTAAAATATTTAATGTCTAAAGCAAGCTTGTCCAACCCGCAGCCCACAGGCCACATGCAGCCCAGGATGGCTTTGAATGCAGCCCAACACAAATTTGTAACCTTTCTTAAAACATGATCAGATACTTTTTGTGATTTCTTTTTTTTTTTAGCCATCAGCTATGGTTAGTGTTGGTGTATTTTGTGTGTGGCCCAAGACAATTCTTCTTTTGGCCCAGAGAAGCCAAAAGACTGGACAGCCCTGGTCTAAAACAAAACTAGAAACAAAGGAGTACAGATTCATAAGTGCATGTATGACAACAATATAAAAAAATGGAAGGGAGAAATTGGAACTATGAAGTTCTAACATTATACATGTATGATACTTATTTGTAGGTAGACGGTGAAAAATTAAAGATGGATGTATACTATAAACCCTAGGATAGCCAAAGAGATATAATTAACTGTTGAATACAAATACAATTAAACAGGTTTAAAAAATAATAATAATACTGGCCAGGTGCAGTGGCTCATGTCTGTAATCCCAGCACTTTGGGAGGCTGAGGTGGGCAGATCACTTGAAGTCAGAAGTTCAAGACCAGACTGACCAATATGGTGAAACCCTGTCTCTACAAAAAATATAAACATTAGCCACGTGTGAAAGTGGGTGTCTGTAATCCCGGCTACCTGGGGGGCTGAGGCAGGAGAATTGCTTGAACGTGGAGGTTGCAGTGAGCCAAGGTCATGCCTTTGCACTCCAGCCTGAGTGACAGAGTGAGACTCCATCTTAACAATAATAATTATAATAGCAACAACAATACAAGTGTAATAATGTACTGTGGCATTTGTAACGTGTAGAAGTAAAATGTATAAGGAAATAGCATAAAAGTAAGGATAGAATAAATTTTTACTCATCTCTCTTTGACAAACCAACCACACCTGTAAAAAGAGAGGAAAGCCTATGTCATAGGATTATGAAAAGAACTAAATTCGGGTGTGGTGGCTCACGCCTGTAATCCCAGCACTTTGGGATGCTGAGGCGGGTGGATCACTTGAGATCAGGAGGTTGAGACCAGCCTGACCAATATGGTGAAACACCATCTCTACTAAAAATATAAAAATTAGCCATGCATGGTGGTGGGTGCTGGTAATCCCAGCTACTCAGGAGGCTGAGGCAGAAGAATTGCTTGAATCCGGGAGGCAGAGGTTGCAGTGAGCTGAGATTGTACCTCTGCACTCCAGCCTGCATGACAGAGCGAGACTCCACTTCAAATAATACTACTAATAATGACAACACAAATATAATAACATGTATTATGGCATTTATAATACATGTAGAAGTGAAATGTATGAAAAAACAGAAGGAAGGTAAGGATAGAAGAAATTTTTACTCTTCTCTCTTTGACCAACCAACCACATCTTTAAAATGAGAAGAAAGTCTATGTCATTGGATTATGAAAAAAACTAAATGATTTCACACATGTAAATACCAAGCCCTGCACCTGATGTGTGGTGACTGCTTGGTAAATATTTGTTAAGCGACAAGTGAATTGTTTAGTGTCATACATTTATTCATTATAAGAGAGTTAGGATTTCTCCCTAAAAAGCTGAGCAGATTTCCTACATGGGGCTCACGGGGAAGCTGGTTACCTGCCAGCAAGCATTGTGTCTTCAAGCCCTGGTCTGGAAAACAGTCCATCAGCAATTTTACCTCCCAAGACTCGGTTCCCTCCCCGGAGCTTGTAAGTGAGGCAGACGGTTTAGTTAGTAATGGCAGTCAGGAAAAATAAACTTGCCGACAGAAAGGGACAAAGAGAACCACAAACAGCTTATGTCGAGAAAAAGAATGTTTTCATCTCCTTGACATCTGTAATCCACATTTATCCTGTGATGAGCAATTGCACATCTGGGTCTGACCTTGGGAAGACCCTAGGAAGTCTGGCTGGTTTGAAGACAAATGTATAAACCACACACAAATTTCACAGTGAACCAGCCAATAAATATTCTCCAACCTGCCCTTGACATGTAAATGTGTCCATGAATCATAATGGCTTTATGCCCAAATCCTAGACCTAGGAGCAGTCAGTAAAGTCCATGGAAGGATGTTCAAATGGGGTGTTGGTCAATGGAATGGCCCATTTTCCACTTTGAATAGGAGAAACGTGATCCTACTTGGACAGAAAGGGAGTTGTGTGAGCAAAGGAGGTTTGTGGGAAAGCCCAGGGCATGGCGGGGAGGAGCAGGTCAATCTCTGAGGTTGGCATGTTGGACACTCCATGCCCTTGATGCCATTTTGCTCCAGCAATTTCTGCACCAACCAGCTGTGCACAGGTGAAGCCATCACCCTGCCTGGCTGCACCATGTACATCTTGCTTTCAAACGCAGCCTCTCTGACACCACCTCATGGGACACCTGCAGAAGCCGTCCAGCCACAGAAATGCCAAAGACAGACCACACCAGTGTGGGAGAGAGCAGTAACTCCCGTGGAGTTTCCTAGTTGCAGCCTGCACACGCCTCAGAAAGCCCCTCACAGAAGCGAGTCCCAACTGCCCACCAGCACAAGCGGCAGCCCTGGTGGAGCTGCTTTTCCTCCTGCCACTTCCCCCATGGGAGCATTTTGCTGGATGACCAACTTGCGGAATTTACCAAATTTAATAATTTACCAAAAATGCACTTATTTTAGCTCACTATAATGTATGCAGTAATTTATATTGGATGGGATGGTTTTGATAGATTTTGAAGATTTCTGCAAAGCTCTAAGTAACTGGGTTTTTTGGGGGATGGGGCTTATTTTTGAGACAGGGTCTTACTTTGTCACTCAAGCTGGAGTGCAGTGGTGCAACCATAGCTACCCGCAGCCTTGACCTCCCAGGTTCAAGTGATCCTCCTCAGCCTCCTAAGTAGCTGGGACTACAGGCGTGTGCCACCATGCCTGGCTAATCTCTTAATTTTTGTAGAAATGGGATCTCACTATGTTGCCCAGGCTGGTCTCAAACTTCTGGGCTCAAGTGATCTGCCCTCCTTGGCCTTCCAAAGCTCTGGGAGTGCAGGCGTGAGCCACCACACCTAGCCCCTAGGTAACTAATTCTTATTTTGTCTTCTTAATAGCATTTCCTCAGCAAAAGGAGAAAGTTATACAGGGGACTCGGCACACACAGCGGCTTGGGCTGCTGATGCTGGGAGGGGCGGTGGGCGATACCCCCACCCTCTTGCCCTAACAATCCTGCAAAGTTGGGAGCCCTGCTCTGGCCACTGCCAGCATTAGGCATCACCTCCGATTCCTGAAGGCACTGGGGCTTCCATTGCCTCCCCTATAAAGAGGGGCTGTTAACCCCGTCTGCTCTTGGGGATAGTAACGAGGGCAAAGTAAGATGCCAGGTGTTTAGCTCTTACTGCAGCAGGAGTTTGGTCACATGGGATGATTTTATCGTTACTGTTGCCACAGATCTTGTCTGTGGAGCTCCTAAGTCCTGAGGAAACTGCTGGAAGGTGTGAGATTCCCCTCAGCTGGAGACCTGCTCATTTTTCAAGATCTTTCCTGAGCACCACCTCTGCCCCAGCACTGGGCTGAGCACTGGATACATGCAGAGCCCCAACACTGACCCCAGAGGTTTCAGGCCTGGACCCCAAAGGAAGACGGGCCGGGAGTGCAGGATGGCACCAGGGAGCAGACTCTCCAGAAAGGGGCCCAAAGGGGCAGAAACAGGCAGGAAGGGCTCTCCTGGCAGAGAAGGTCAAATAGCCAAGAACTTTACATACCAAGAGGAAAAAGCTGTTCTGGCAATCAGTGAAGGCACTCCTTTAGTGAACTGGAAACTTTTTATTTATTTATTTATTTTGAGATGGGGTCTCACTCTGTCCCCCAGGCTGGAGTGTATTGGCATGATCTTGGTTCACTACAACCTCTGCCTCCCAGGTCCAAGCGATTCTTCTGCCTCAGCCTCCAGAGTAGCTGGGATTACAGGTGCATGCCACCATGCCCAGCTAATTGTTGTATTTTTAGAAGAAATGAGGTTTCATCACGTTGGCCTCAAACTCCTGACCTCAAGTGATCCACCTTCCTTGGCCTCCCAAAGTGTTGGGATTACAGGCATAAGCCACTGCACCTAGCCAGAAGTTTTTCTTTAAAACCCCAAATTTCAATTAGCACCCCTGACACAGATCAACATTACCCCTTTAAGTAGGTAGTTTCTGAACTCCTGCATCCTGCAGAGATTCTCTCAGGCATGCAGGAGTCCTGCCCTCCCCATGGTCTGCCTCCATGAAGCTGTACTCAGGCCTACTCTGGCCCCACAAACCCCATGGAATGGTGTGGTTGTCTGAGCCCTGGTCTTCTCACCTGTCAAATGTAAGAGTGAATTAAGGTCAGGCATGTAGGATGTCTGTGGAACACCTGACAGGGAGAAAACAGTAAATAGTCACCACTGAGTACTGTTGGTGCTCAAAAAAATATCAGAACTTTGCCTGAGCCCAGGAGTTTGAGGCTGCAGTGAGCTGTGATTGAACCACTGCACTTCAGCCTGAGGGACAGAAGGAGAGACCCCATCTCTTAAAAAGAAAAAGAAAACCCCTTTTTTTTTCACCTTTTCCATCACAGAAACGCAAAACATTCAGATCTAGCAATTAATGGCTTCAGCAAAGAAGACTCACTAGCCCGTTTCTTCTAAGCATCTTCTTACATTTCTGAGCCTGTCAGTAATCACTTTCCCATGTACTGGGTGGTAATGAGTGACTATCTCCAGCTCTCCCCAGGTCCAAGGTATTTTGCTGCAGAAACGTGACGTGTATGAGTTAGCTAGTGCTGCATAACAAATTATCCTAAGACTTGGCAATTTCAAACAACCAATGTTGAAAATCTCATACATTGTTTTGAGTTGGGAATCCAGGAGCAGATCATCTGGGTGGTTCCAGCTCAGTCCTGCAGTTAAATGGACACCCAGGGCTGCAGTCCAGGATTGCATGATGGGGCCTGAAGGATCCACTGCTGAGCTCACTCGTGTGGCTGCTGAGATTTCAGCTCCTTATCATGTGCCCTGGCCATAAAGCTGCTGGTTATCTGGGAACACAGATGGGAGTACCTACATCTTCCTCTGGTATATCTTCAAGTGTGGCTGCCATCCATTCGAATCAAGAGCTGAGATGGCATCTCCTGGAAAGGATGGAAGGCTGTGACCTGACAGTCCATGGGAGAGGCTGGTGCGTCTGTTTCTTACCAGCTGCAAGACAACTGGTGGGAAAATGCTCAAGGCATTAACACCTCCCTAAGGCAAGCACAGTCATTTCAGCACATTAGCAGGCTGGACTCATACACATTTCAGAAACTCAAGTGAGAACCAGAGCTGGAAGGTCAAGCTGGCAAGTCGTTTCAGATGGTCTTAAATTTTATTTAAAAAGGAAGAATGCGGGATTGCACAAACAGGGGCTTTCTGCGCCAGACCTGATCGTAATCGGCTACTCTCACACCTGAGAGGACAAAAGCAAAAGAATGTTTGGAAACCCCAAGAAAACCTCTTTAGAGCAGTTGAGAGTGGGGTGGGCAGGAAGGAAAATAACTATTTCCATAGAAAAGAAATGATGACATGATAATCTTTTGGTTTTTAATCCTTTCACTGCTTCCAGAGGTAGAAAATTACAGCCTCTTGGTTTCCTTCCAAGCGAGCCCTTGGAACCAGGGCCCTAAAGGACCCCAGGGATCCAGAAGGAAGTCACAGTGACTTGGGTAGCAAAGGGCAGTTTCAGAGCTCCAGCTCTCCCAAGCCCCTGCACACTTCACATCTACCCCGTGAGAGGCAGCAGAGCTCTGTGCCTGCATTTCCTCATCTGGAAAATAGGGATGCCAGTGGTACCTGCTTCAGAGTATTTTCATTACTATGGAGGACACATTTAATGCCTGAGGCTAGCTCTGTGCCTGGCACTGGCTGAGTGTGTCACCAGCACTACCTCACTTAGCAAGTGAAAAAATGAACATCCAGAAAGTTGAAGTCACTGGCCTTGCCCAGAGGGCTACATTTACCAATAGCCTCCAGGACTTTTGGACCCTAGACTGCGTCTCAGCCTGGGCAGCTCAGTGTTACTCTTCCTCCAATCAGTGAGCCAGTGTCATCCCTAGGTGTCTCAGAGCCCCTCCTCCACTCCTCTGCCCCTGCCCCTCTCCCACACTACCCCATCTGCCCCTCCCCGACCCTGTCACCACCTGTGTCTCTTACAGGATGAGCAAATCAGCTGTGATTCCCAGTCTCTGGGAGCTGACACTCCAGTGCAAGGAGACACATGGGATGCAAGATGCACAAATGAAAAAAATACACAGGCAGCCCTGGCTTACAATGGCTGGGCCTAACCACATTTTGACTTTACATACATGGGTGGATGAGTCAACGGGTAGGTGTATGGATAGACAGATAACAGATGAATGAGTGGTTGGGTAGATGGGTGAGTATGTGGATGGGTGGCTGGGTGGATGGATGGATGGATGGATTGATTAATGAACGAATAGATAAGTAGGTGGGTGAATGAGAGTGTGGGTGAGTGAGTGGATGAATGTATGAGTGGGTAGATGGGTGGGTGAGTACGTGGGTAAACGGAGGGGTAAATGAAAGGATGGTGGATGAATTGTTGAATGGATGGGTGGGTAGATGGATGAATGATAGATGAATGCATGGTGGGTATCTGGCTGGCTGGGTGAACAGCTGAGTGGATGAGTCAGTGGATGGATAAATGAATGAATGTATGGATGAGTGAATGGAGGGATAGGTAGATAAATGATGAACAGATTGATAGGTGGGTGGATGGATGGACAGATGAGTGGATGAGGGGATTGATGAATAGATGAGCAAATGGAGAAAGAGAATCATTGTTCTGGTTGTAAGAAGTCCAACTCTTTCCTATAGGAGAAGAACTAGAAATTTCCACTTTTGCTTTCTGCAGTCTTTGACAAATGTTCTACAGTCAAACAAGGTTTGACTATAAAATGTCTCTTCCTTTTCTGAGGAAAAACAGCACCACTTTTTTCTTTCTTGCAAGTGACGTAAAACATTTCACACGGCCCCAAACAGATCTAGCACCTAAGGGTCAGGAGCTGGAAACTTCACCAAACACATACATCATTACAGTTCTCCCGAAAGTAATGGTGCCACTATTTATGACCATGAATACAGCATTAAACAAATACTGAGATGGGGAGAGCTCGTTACCCAAGGCCATTAAACAGCTCAGGAAGAGTGCAGTTATGTTAGAAGCCAATTAAGAGGCCTCACACTGGTTGTCAGCAGCCCACAAGGGGCTGGAACGTCCCCTAGCACACAGTAGGCACCTCGTAAAATGCATAAAGCAAAACAAGAAAAGCAGATTAGCAGGTCCAACGATGGGGCTGTCCAGGATGCTGCCCTTCACCATCCCCTGTGCCGCGTGTGACATGAACCACAACACTCAAGAGTCCAGGACTATTTGTGAATGCACAGAGCAAACAATGCACACCAATGGTAAATACCAATTATTTAGTCATTGATTTATCAAACACTTCCTGAGTACTTGCCTGCCAGGCTCTGTTAAAAGTGCTTTATAATTATTAATCCATTTAATCACAGCAACCTTACGAGGTAGGAGCTATCATTATTCCCATTTTAAATAAGAGGAAACTGAGGCACAGAGATGCAACACACAGTAAGCTGTGGAATCCAAATGTGAACCAGACTATTCAGCTCACAGTCTGTATGAATCAAACAGACAGCAGAGAGGAGGAGCCTGCTGAAGGTTCATTACACCACAGGCGTTTACACACACTCCCTTATCTAAGGGGAGGAGCCTGATGAAGGTTCATTACACCACAGGAGTTTACACACACTCCTTATCTAAGGGGAGGAGCC